TCTATTTAAATGAACAAAACAGGCCCAAATGAAAAAAATTAAATCAAAAATGCTGCATAAATTAAAAGGATCCCCAGAGTACAGGCTATAATGTGGGATATAAAATGTGCCCTGGGTTTTAGAGGTGACTGAGGAAGTAGGACACACATTGCGGTGGGGTTACACCATCTATCAGTTTTAACCTTCGTCCGCTAGTCTCACATGAAGAACTTAAAAAATAAAATAAAATCACCAAAAAGGAATACAAATTAGGAGAGAGAGATGTGGATGCTCAAGCCCACAATGTCCCATTAGGACTGTTGATGTACATATTAACAATGGTTGGCTAGTCATCAATCTTCCAGTACCTCATCAATTCCAATGGATTCATTAAAAATTAAGGTTAATGGCCCTTAAATTTTCATTTTGATTTTCTTCTACTTTCAAAACTTGAATCTTACCATCTCTGGTTTACCTAACTCTATTCAAGGATACAAGATAATCTTTCAGAAGAGGGTCCACTTGTGGAATCTACCATACATATTCCTCAGTAAAAACTGATGAGAAAAACAAATATATCAGATGCTCAGTCAACCAAAACCCTCCCAGCTTCACTTTTTAAGGGCCAATCTCCTATTTTAAATTCTGTTTCCCTGACCATATGTAAAAAAAAAGTATTTACTGTTAGTTAATTTTCTACAAACTGTTTCACATATGCCCTTTTTAATCAGTTCTCTAGTTGTTTTATAGGATTACATATTTCCTTCTTGCGGATCTGTTTAAATTTTCTAAATTTGTAATTCTTTTCCTTGATTTTCCATTTTATTTCCTTTGTAAGCTATTTCGACATAGTCCAACATTAATACTTTCTTTTACAATATAAACATTTGTATTTGTACTAAACTGTTCTTAAAGGTATTCCACTTTAGACAAGCATCTACAGTCAACAGCCATTTTAATCTATCGGAGATAGTTCCATTCTTATAGCATAAAAGTTATCTGTTCCCAATAATGGAACTAAGGTATTATTAACCTTTATTTTATCATAAAATAATACCTCAAACCTAATTATAGTGATCACTGGCTCTCAAATGTTCTTCCACTTCACACTTCTGAATGATATCCTCATGGATGGTTAATGTTAAATCCCAAACAGGATTATCCCTAGTTGGTTCCTTAATTATAATACAAGGAGTTTTTACATGAATTCTGCTGATATCCTAAGTTTGTGACACTTTCTGATTCTTAGATTCCTCTTTCATCCTAGTTGCCTTATTCTATTATCATTTAACCTAACCACCTTCATATTATCTTCACTGACTATTAGGAACTGTACTCTTTTTCAAAACCTAAATCAACATTTAATCCCTCACCACTTTCTAATAAAAGTTTAGTCTCCCAAATAACTAGGTTAATTCAATTTCTTACTGAAATGTAAGTCGTGGAATGTTTTCTCTTTAACAAATGAATACCAAATTTCATCCTCCCAACTGCTTCCAAACAGCACAAAGATTAATTTACCATTTAGTCCTACTTACTAACTTAATAAAAGTAACTTATGACTTCTGAACTCAAATGCATTTATAAATTTTCTGTACTTTTCAAATATCTTCTATAACATTATCCTCTCTATCATTAGTTCCACTATGTACTAGAAAATAACCCACCCCATTGGCCCCAGCACCTGAAATAACATACCCTAGTTCTTTCCTCCCTGTTTACCCCATATAATACTATACCCATATACCTAACTAAGGCATCACCAATCACTACCACCTCATTATGCGAGTCTACCATGGTCTCCCTATGTCTCTCCAATCATGAGATAAGTATACTAATATCTGCTCCTCCAACCCTTCATAAAGCTCTAGAGGAGCTTTTTATGCCATACGTTCAGTTATCATTCTGATAACTACCTTTTACAATGGCTTTCTTTTGAAACTCTGTATATCTCATCTTTTCTCCAAAATATTATTAGACATATTCTTCAAGGAAATAGTAAATGCCTCTTCTTCATCCATATTACCAATCACCTGTGGCACACTCTGTAACTAAAGTAATGCTGTCTCTTTTGTGATCATTAGTTCCTTCACTCCTATTCCTAACACTTGCCTCTCCATACTCTTAAATTTTTCTTTTTTTTATTTTAATGAAGTCTTATCCTTCTAAGACACAGTAACCTCCAATGCCCAATTATTTAATGTACTTCTACGTATAGACTTGTGTGTCTACACATTAAAAGAATAAGTAACATACATATACAGACATGTTTGTTTAAATACTCATAACCTCATAAGCTATCTCAATTAATGTCACAAAATACCTTTTTAAATTTCTTATTCAAATGTATTTATAGAATAGTTTCATCTTTCTTTATTATTGTTTCCACTTTCAGAATTTGCTGATCTATAGAAAAATTCAATATTCCAAACAATTTTACTGATATTTGAAAACTTCATGCCATAGTTATAATATTTATATAATGGTACATTGAACTGTACAGAAAAAAAACTTCAGTGAGATAGTTTTTCCAAAACAGTGGAAATTAAAAACCTTTCTAAATATGTGACTTGACATAAAGTGAGAAACTTTTTGTATTGTTTACTCTATCTTACATAGTTTACTACTTACAAAAAAACATTTAACAAACATACTTGAACTCAGGTCACAATATTGCAATATGAAATATATAAAACATGCATCAAACAAGCCCACCCAGAGTGGGAGAGAGTGGTCAACTGCCAAGGGCTTGGGCAGATGGGGCAGATACTTTTCTTCAAATAAAATTATGATTTGCAACAAATGATAATAATAGGCTGCTTCTTCCTGTTACTAATAAGATGAAAAAACTGTGTCATAACACTAAGTAGTCCCTTTCTAGAGGCCAATGACTGTTCTGCCCCGGGGCCCGGAACTGCTATTGGCAAGCCTGCATACATACCAAGTCAAATCTGTATGCTTTAAAAATGCAGACAATATTTATGTGTCTGCTTGAATTTTTAAAGCAAAGTGCCTCATTTTAGTTATTCAAAAAGAAAAGAAAATATCTTACTAGCAGGATAACTCTTTATCTCAGTTGCCATAATGTTTGCCTAGCATGAGATAGGTCTCAGGTTCAAACCCAAGCTGAGAATATTGAAATTGCCATATGATAAACTGGTGCCCAATGTGGAGCACTGTTTTTGATAACGAAAGAATGTGACAGTTTGAGTTAGACGTTAAAAACTGCCATATTAGAAACTGCTAGTGGGTTAACCATTTAGATCAGTTTGGTCTGAATAGCTGTAGGGTAAAGAGGGGAACTTACACTTACAGCTTGACTATATTTTATTTTTGCAATAAAAGAAAATATCATATATTATTTATATTCAATTAATGTATTTCAATTTATAAGAAATAACCGTTGAACAACAAGAATGGTAATTAATTTTTATTAAAACAGTTAACATTTTATTTTAGTAGTATAGTACTCACTGTACACGTCGTAATAACTTAGTAATACTACTAGTATCTCTACTTGCAGAGTTTAGACTAGGCGAAATTTCAAAATATCTTCTAACTTCTTTATGCTAAGTCTATTATTACAACACAAATAGTTTAAACTTACCGCTGCACCAGAAATAGCATGAACTAAAGTGTCATAAGAAAAAAGGCTTGTACCTGTAGCCTTTTTTGCCATGATAATACCACTGACGAGACAGTTCTACTGCTAGATTCTATCCAAATATACGACTGCTGACTAGAGAATATAATAAGTGTGGGCCTATTTCCCGGCTCAGAAATAAAAAATATTGTAAAGCTTAGTTTCGTGTATAGAATAAATAATTAATACGAGGCTTTAATAATTTTTCAAATTATAATCACACTTTACTGTGAACTTTAACATCACACTTCGAAATAATTTTCTAAATACTCATTTTATAAAACTAATTTAAAGTTTTGCCACCTCCCTACGAGTTTTCAGCGTTCTCTCATTGCATCTAACTATCTGTGAAAACTCAACCCCCCTCACTGATAACACTGGAACTTTATTTATTTATTTATTTTTTTTTTTTTACTGAAAAGGTGTAATTGAACCATGCGCCATCTGGGCTGTATATTACATTATATACAATTACAAGCCTAAAATAATATACGAAACTAATTCGTATTAGTTTGTTAAAAATTGAAATAAATACAGTAGCAAAAATCATCATCAAAACATGAATAATTATTTAGAAACAATAAATTAAAGTCAAATTACAAAGCGATTTAAAACACGGACAATTTTTTATGCAGTTTATATGCAGTACACAATATCACTCCTCCCGTCAAGGTCAAAGGTTATAAGCAAACACTACATTACAATATTTGTTGTTCTCAATTTTCACTGAAATAATGAAAGACGATAATAACTTCTATTAGTCTGAGCAGTAAAACAAATTTGGGTAAGGTTGTGACAATCGGATATCAATCGTTTTTATGGTTAGTAGCCTATATGATCACACCATAGTCTAATTACTGTTACGCCTCCATTCGTTAATTGATTTTCCGTAACTTCGTTCCGACGAAACTTTAGCGACACAAGTCCTTACTTAATAAAACTGGTTTATTCTTTCCGAATACAACTTTACGATACACTTATTTTCAACAATCACGCTAAAACAAACGCTATAACAACGAACGTACTCAACTTCAATAATACTTTCTGACTGCAGATCAATTACTCACTGTCTACACACACATTGTCTCGACACGTTGTAACCCTCTTATATATATACCAGACTACCCTATATCTAGTAATCTCCCGAAGGTTCGAGAGAACGAGTGGCGTGACACTAGACACTTGACCTCGCTGACGCAACACTGCCCCCTCCTTAGTATTGTTCGTCCCGAACAATAACC